ATAAAACCTATTGGTCTGTTGCACGGTATATCGTCAAAGCGACTAGATGGTAACAATGTAGCACACATCTCTGTACCAAAAGCACTGTTCGGTTCACCAGAATTCCAGAACATCTTGGATACCGTTCCACCAGTTGTCCAAACGAAATCTCTTCCATTCCACTTTCTGTGAGCTCCGATATACAAGTAATGGTTATCTGAAAGGTAATATTTCCACGTTTCATATATTTTATGTTTTATATTTCAAATAAATGATACATGGAATTAGACTTACTTTCCACCAGTCTGTTCTTCAAGGAGATAAAGTTTTGTTGAATGTATGCAGTAATCCTCTCATTGTACAGTCCGCTATTTCTTTTAATCTCAGTAGAATATTTATCACTATAATATAATATTAACTTACACTTATTCAGAGATCTTAAATTAGTCAAATCTTGTCGAGTATACACCGATATTAAATACCCGCTGTCTTGTCGACATCTTATGTTGTCATCCTCCCATGTTTGTCCCGTTGAAAAATGTTTCAAACAATATTTTTGATCTGGAAATATCTTGTATTCCTTCTCAGTACAATAACTTTCTTCTGTAATATAAAACATTTATTAATTGATCTCGAATAATGTCAAATAAAGTAGTTAACTGATCAACCGTATGGTTACAAGGTAAAATGGCCGGATGTATGGTTACAAAATAAATGACCAGCCGTATGGTCACAGTAAGTAAAAGTCGTCAGGTCACAAATGTACTTGGTCACAGTGATATATGATCACAGGGAAGAATGGCAACAGTCGTATGGTCACGAGGTGAACTGGTTATTCTTAAGTAAACTGATCACAAAGTCGTAAGGTCACGACTGAATTAGGTAACAGTCGTTATGTCACAATGTTAAATGATAACAGTCGTCATGTCACAATGTAAAATGATAACAGTCGTTATATCAAAAAGATAAAATGATAACAGTCGTTATGTCACAATGTAAAATGATAACAGTCGTTATGTCACAATGTTAAATGATAACAGTCGTTATGTCACAATGTAAAATGATAACAGTCGTTATATCAAAAAGGTAAAATGGTAACAGTCGTTATGTCACAATGTAAAATGATAACGGTCGTATTGTCACAAGGTAAAATGCTAACAGTCGTTATGTCACAAGGTCAAATAATGACAGTCGTTATGTCACAATGTAAAATAATAACAGTCGTTATGTCACAATGTAAAATAATAACAGACATTATGTCACAATGTAACATGGTTGCAGTCGTAATGTCACAAAGTAAAATGGCTGCAGTCATAATGTCACAA